CCCCTGTATTTTGCTTCATATAAAGTAGTGATCAAAAGCTTCAGCACAAAAACATCTACATCAGCCTCCACAACTATAGTTGTTGCAGATGATCCCTTCCAAACCATTCGCTGTCTTGTTGTAGTTTGTAGTGTTCCTTCCGACATTGAAGACTGCGCTGAGGATCACTGCCACCAACAGCACCAATAGGAATAAAATAACTAAAAAGACAAACAGCCACTGACGGGAACTCATCCCTAAAGGGAAGAACAGATAAATTAGTCACCCGGTATTATTTACAACTCGAAACAACTGAATGATTTTGATGACATAATAGATGAATACTACAAACATCAATATCCCTTAATTCAAAGAAACTTGAAGTAGAAAGACTTGAAAAAATCGGATCTGAAATCTGGAGTTCATGATTGAGGTCACACTTACTATTGAAACTGGCTCGCAAGGTAGAGACCTAAAGACAGAAAGAAAGAGAATATAATTAATGAATGAAACTGCATCATGTACATCATTTCAGAGATAGACCAGAGTAATGATGCACTTGATTGTGTGATCGTATTAAACCTAGAATAGTAAATCTAGTCATTACCATGGAAACTCCGAGATACTTCTTGACATCAAACCATGCAATATCATTTCGGTTGGACTTCAGGAGTTTTCCCTCATAGAACAGACAGTCCACAGTAAGCTGAACATTGGGGTTGTCCACCAGTCTTCTGCTTTCAACTACAACATGGTCAGGGTTGAAGGTGTGATGCATCACGACCAGAATTGCTGGTTTATCACCTGTAAGCACAGAGATAATACAACCAGATGAGTGAAATAAGGTGAAACTTGAGAGGAGAGATCAGTTTGGTTTTTTATGGCTCAGCTGATGCACTCATTCCATATTGTTGTATTAAAGTGCAAGTTCAATTAGGACCTGCACTAAAACTGATTGATCAAATTTCCCTGTATTCCTTATCAGTGTGAAGCAATTTCCTACCTGGAAGTTTCTCCAGGGCCTCGCTGACGTCTGTTCCAACTCTAGAAGCAACAGGACAGAAAACCAGAAGGTAGTCACTTTCTCCTGGAGAGTTCACCTCAGTATGGCCAATGCTTTGAAGCTTCGCCACAAACTCCAGATGAGCATCATTAGTTCTTCCCGCCAAGATGACAAAGAACCTTTTCCAGGAGACTAAAGACAGAGAATATTTTAGTCATTACTGCACTGTAACATAGTTTAGTGTACTAAAAAGATATTGGGCTAGATTCAACTTAGATTGGAGAAGGTGTTTTATAAATCCCTGAACTGTACTACTTTCATAAATACATTGAACTCAAAATAAGTATTTTTTGAATTTCCATATGATCATCTTAAAAAAAGATTAATTGTATAAGTTTTTGTTATGTTCTTGTGTCAGTGAGGTGTCCAATATATAAATAAATGAATCTTAAAAGCATACTGAGACTGAGACTAAAAGCTACTGCATATGCACGAAAACCAGATAACCAATAATGAAACATTAACTCTGTTGCAGACAGGCTGTTGCTGAATGCTGAGAAATATATCCAAAGGTTTTTCTACTGCAGCCCCTCAGACCTCCCTCCTCAGGCACCTCTCACTTTATTACACAGTTATTATCACTCCCTGCTGGTCAGAGTATTTACTGTATTTTCTTTCAGAAGTCAATATACAATATTGACTACTGAAAGAAAATAATAAATATAAAATTTGCTTTCTCACCAGTTCCAGCTTCCTGGGCCATGTCTCTGAGGAAGAGATAGCAACCTTTAGTCAAAATCATTTTAAAAAATGAAATAGAGCTAAATGAGGAGCAGGGGTATAAGGGTCCGTGTATGTTTTGGTCATTCGATTTTCCTTTTAGAAACGAGTATTAAAAAACAGAAAACGAGTGGTTATTTAAACTATTAAAATTGAAATACAAGGCGTTTTTCTTTTTCGTGGTCAAAAAGGGATGAGCGAAATTTAAAAAATGATTCGATTTTCATTTTCTATTTCATATAAATAAAAATAAAATCACTAGAAAACAGAAACAGAAAAAGGCCTGTTGTTTCATATTCTGAGACCGGATTTTGTCATTTACAGGACGGTGCTGTGTAGAAGAAACAGTAGACTAGTAGACTGCGGTCAATCCAGCCGTGAGTCCGATCTCTGTGGTCAAATCAGCTGCACTTAAATTTAGAGTGTACAAGTATTCTCAGCATTATGGTAAATGCGGAGAAACAGCGTATTTACTTACGGTTTTCAAAATAAAGGTATTTAGAGCCGTAAGCTATAATTAAAATATGTTACATTAAAGTGTTTCATGTGCCCCTGATGAATAAAAAAACACTTTATATCAAGTATCTTTACTGCACTAGTGTGGAGAAATTCCAAAATAAAAGTCTCATATTTATGCCTCCAGAGATTGCATATTTGACCATATTTGAGGTACTGTAAAAACATATTGCTCAGTGTTTCCTGGCTACTTATGGTATATTTGACTTTTACACATATGAGACTACAAACATACTTAATATCAAGCATTTTTACTGTACCAATGTGGAGAAAATAGACAATAAAAGTCCATATTTATACCTCCAAGTTGCATATTTGACCATATTTGAGCTACTGTAAAAACACTTTGCTCAAAAATAATTACTTTTAACTTCCAAACACAATTTTACCTACTGTCTCTTCCTCACATATTATTTTTCCCTTTTACAGATTCAGTGTGACAGCTGTTGCAGGTGGTTCCACATTAGTCTTTATATTCTCATTTTTTTATAAGATGTTATTAAACATTTGTGTGAAATTTTGTCATGATTACTGCAGCATTATTGAAGTATAATGAAAATGCTTCACCCATAGCCTGGAAATATTAAGCAATATGTTTTTACAGTAGCTCAAATATAAGAAAATATGGAATCTGGAGGTATAAATATGAGGCTTTTATTCTTAAATTTCTCCAAATTGGTGCCGTATAAATGCTTGATATTAAATATGCTTGTAGTCTCATATGTGTAAAAGTCAAATATACCATCAGTAGCCAGGAAACACTGAGCAATATGTTTTTACAGTACCTCATAAATATGAGACTTTTATTTTGGCATTTCTCCACACTGGTGCAGTAAAGATACTTGATATAAAGTGTTTCTTATTCATCAGGGGGCACAACACTTTAATGTAACATATTTTAATTATAGCTTACAGCTCTAAATACCTTTATTTTGAAAACCGGAAGTAAATACGCTGTTTCTCCGCATTTACCATAATGCTGAGAATACTTGTACACTCGAAATTTAAGTGCGGCTGATTTGACCACGGAGATCGGACTCACGGCTGGATTGACCGCAGTCTACTAACCTACTGTTTCTTCTCCACAGCACCGTCCTGTAAATGACAACATCCGGTCTCAGAATATGAAACAACAGGCCTTTTTAAAAAAAATGAAAATCGAATAATTTTTTTAATTTCGCTCATCCCTTTTTGACCATGAAAAAGAAAAACGCCTTGTATTTCAATTTGAATTTTTGTATTTTAAAACGAAAATCAAATAACCACTCGTTTTCTGTTTTTTAATACCCGTTTCTGAAAGGAAAATCCAATGACCAAAACATACACGGACCTATAAGCGTCACAAATTGCACTTGTCACTGCTGCTGTGCCCAGCCCATGAATCATAGTTACAAATACATTAGATGTGTATAACCTATAATACTCCGATGTACATAAAGAGGGAGCAGTTCACAGCCTCACAAAGATTCCTTATTCAAAACATTTTGTTCTTGCCTACTTACGTAATGGATTGATAATTTATTTCTGATGTCTCTGGTATATCAAAGTATTTGTTGTTCCTCCCTGTCGGTGCAGCACTTTCACTTTTGTTTTGACAAGGAAGCTGTTCTCGAGTTGACCACTAGAGGACGTGCAGAGATGAGACATTAACTGTGTCAGTGTTTAGGAACAGATGAGAAAAGACCACAGTAGGAGGAGGGAGTAACTGCAGACCTCATATAGGCTACAACACAGAGCTGATGGTATACACGGGCACTGGGATTACTATAGGTTGTTTTTATATTACAGAAGTAGTTTACTATGTTAGAGTCCCCTCACATGTAGGATGGAGGGAGTCTAAGCACTAATAATAATACCTCTGCACTTTAGGACAGGACTGTTACAGCTGCTTGACCAGAAGACGTAACACACAGTGCTGGCTACCGTGACAAGTCCTTCCGAAGTTGTAAGTAAGTTGTGTTGTCATTCTGCAGCAGTAATTTTAAAGATGACTTCTTGATTTGATTTCATTTACCGGCCTTTCAATCCTGACTTGACTCCCATTCTTTGTCATTGGTTGCATTTAGATACCATCATTGTGCCACCATTGCTCTTCGCAGTAGGGGTGGTAATGACCTTTACCTCAGTTTTAATAGGAATCCATCAGATTTGTTTATCAGCTATGTAGGGCTGTCCCCTAATAGTCGAGTAAACTGTTAGTAGAAGAGAAGAGTCTTAGTTGACAAGATTTCATGAGTCGGATATTTGCAGGAAAACAAACGGAGCTGTGCCATGTAGTCAGGATGAAAGTGTCAGGGGATTGTTGCAGCACGGACCTTTTCTCTTGTAACACAGCACTGCTGCATGTGCTAAGTGCTAATGAGCTGCTGCCACTAACTACTTAGTATAGCTGACTGTACGGACTGCAAGCTCTAAGTACCAGGGGTGGTTTGTTAACACAAGGGCTGGAATGAGCCCCTATAGCCAGAGTCGGGTGAGCAGACAATGAGACTAATGTAATGTTATTATTCTGTGAAATAAATGAACTGAATGTTCAGTCTCCGTGCTGGCTGTTTAACAGGCGACTGGTAAAATATATATATTTAAATGATTAAACAATTTCATAAACAACACAATTGGCTTTAACCAACAACCACGAGTCGACAAGAAAAATCTTTGGTCGGGGACAGTCCTACAGCGAGGCTACTAATTTACAAAGACACAACACACAAATACGATGTCATCACTTGTTAAATTTGTGTTTATTCTTCATGAAGGTAACACATACAGTCCTGATGTCTGAATGAGTACAAAGTAGCAGCAATCATTATTTTACAGTGATGTTTTCTCTTCATTTAAAACATGATAACACCTTTAAACAGTACATACCACAAAGCGTGTATCTCTAAAGCACAATTACTGGAGTTGAGAAATAACTCTGGTCGTTACCCTGGCTGTACACTCTCATTATTTGAGTTTGTTCCCATCACTTAAAACCCAGTATTGACAGGAGGAGCAAATACATTGTTGAAATTCACTTTTTTAAAACAGAAATAGAATCATTCAAACACATTTACCCACAATGTGCACACAGTATATATACTGTAATATCCACCTACCTAATGTACATAAAGAAACCTGCATGTAATTATTTATTTCAGCATCCTTTGTACTCTCAAATGTTAATTATTTATTGGTTTATAGATAGATAGATAGATAGATAGATAGATAGATAGATAGATAGATAGATAGATAGATAGATATAACTGTACATAGTAGTTTATGTCTATTTTGTTGAGCTTGTTGTCCTGTTTACCTATGCTTAGTCTGGAAAAAAAAAGGCAGCCAATGAAAGAAACTACGAGGAAGAAGAACTGATAAACTAGTCACTTGGTATCATTTACAATTGAAATAACTGAAATTGTTTTGTTCACATATTAGATGAATAATTCCAACATCAATATCCCTTAATTCAAAGGAAAGAACATTTGATCTGAAATCGGAAGTTCATTGATTGCAGTCACAGTTACTAGTGCTTAAAGAATCTGGGAAGACTTGGAAAAGAGACACCTGAAAGAAAGACAGAATTAAGAGAATATGAGTAACAATAATGCGTAATAATGGTAATTTTAGAGGTGGACTACAGTAATGATTCCTTATCCATTAATATCACAATGTCAGTGCACTCCACATAGATTGTATGATTGTATTACATCAATCATCAAGATCATTCATCATTGTATTGGATGCATAAGTTTTTGTCTTGTTTTTGTATGTATAAATGAACAAATCTTCAAAGCGTTGTTATTTCCTGGTTAAAAGCTACTGTGTGTCCACAAAAGCCAGAGAATCAATCATGAAGCACTAACTCTGTTGCAGACAGACTGTTCTGCTAATTTATATTGTTTTCCCCCCATGACGGAAACACATACAATCCTGATGTCTGAATAAGAACAAAGTAGCAACAATCCTTATTTTACAGTGATGTTTTGACTTGATTTAAAATTTTAAAATTTTATACCACACACGACTCTACAACACATTTAAACAGTACATAGCACAAAGCTTCTATCTCAAAAGCACAATTACTTAGGTTGTGGAGTAACTTTGGTCATTGAGCTAGCTTTATACTTATTTTGTTTGTTCTTACATTAAAACCCAGTACTGACAGGAGGAGCCATTACAGTGACCAAAAATGATTGGTATTATTAGATTAATAATTATTAGATTAATAATACAAACATCATTATCCCTTAATTCAAAAGAAAGTGAAGAAGATAGGCTAGAAAAAATCTGATCTGAAATGTGAAGTTCATGAAAGCTCTCACACTTACGATTGAATTTGGCTGGAGAGGTGGAGACCTAAATAATTAAAGAAAAGAAAGAATAAAAAATAATTATTGAAACTGCATCATGAACATAATTTCATTGGTGGACTACAGTAATGATCCCTTATCCCTTAATATCACAATATCAGTGCACTCCCCAGGGATTGTGTGATAGTATTAGATCAGTAAATCTAGTCATTACCTTGGAAACTCCAAGATACTTCTGGACATCAATCCATGCAATATCATTTCTGTTGGACTTCAGGAGTTTGTCCTCATAGAACAGACAGTCCACAGTAACCTTAACATTGGGGTTGTTCACCAGTTTTCTGCTTTCAGCTACAACTTGGTCACGGTTGAAGGTGTGATGCATCACGACCAGAATTGCTGGTTTATCACCTGTAAGCACAGAGATAATACAACCAGATGAGTGAAACATAAGAGGGGAGATCCGTTTGGTTTTTATTGGCTGAGCTGTGGCAATCATTACAAACTGTCGTATTAAAGTTATTAAAATTATTATTATAGTTATATATATATAGTTTTTTACAACAGGATTTTAACATGGGCTTAAAATGAATTGAATTATTTTAAAACTTTAAAATTGATTGGAGAACTTGTTAGCAAACAACTGCCTATTCACACAGCAGATACAGAGCAATGTCTTTGTATAGGGAAAATATATTTGATAAAGAATTACTCATCAAACATGGACCCCATGTTCTGCATTTATAACCGTGCAATTTTAGCATTTCCAAGCCATTTCTTACCTGGAAGTTTCTCCAGGGCATCGCTGACGGCCCTTCCAACTCTTGAAGCGACAGGACAGAAAACCAGAAGGTAGTCACTTTCCTCTGGAGAGTTCACCTCAGTATGGCCAATGCTTTTAAGCTTTGCCACAAACTCTAGATGAGCATCATTAGTTTTTCCCGCCAAGATGACAAAGAACTTTTTCTGGAACACTAAAGACAGAGAGGAATATTTGAGTCATTACTGCACTGTAATATAGTTTAGTGTAGCTACACCATCAGACCCGGATAAAAGGAAATATTTCCCAAATATAGATCTTGGGCTAGATTCATCATAAATTGTAGAAGGTATGTTACACAACCCCGAACTTCACTATTTTCATACATTAGTTCAACTCAAAATGACTATTTTAAAATAATGATCAACTTAAAAAATGCTGATTGCATAAGTTTTTGTGTCAGTGGAGGTGTCCAATATAAAAATGAACAAATCTTCAAAGCACAGAGTTTGTTATTTCCTGGATAAAAGCTACTGTGTGTGCACAAAAGCCAGAGAATCAGTCATGAAGCACTAACTCTGTTGCCGACAGGCTGTTGCTGAATATTTCCAAAGCACAATTAATGGAGCAAAGCCTGTGAGCTAGTTCAGGCAGGTCAACTCGAGCTGCGCTGATTACACACATGACATGCCTTATTCCATAATCACTAACCAAGCGCTCCCTTCCAATCTGGCGGTCTATTTAAAATGCACAATTTCCCAGCTCTCCCTCTGCTCTGTCAATGCCACTGTTGCCCTGCATCCGTATTGCTGCTGCTGCTGCTGCTCTGTAAGCTATTGCTGCCTGCTGCGGTGTAAGCCCCACCACCACCCCAGCATCCACCTGTAGTCTCCGACTGGGGGTTAAGGTATTTGCGCATCACTCGCCAATATCTCTATGTTACATATCTGCGTGGAGTGATGAGGTCGGAGCCTAGACGCCAAAATCTAAATATGCTGTACTGCTTAATAAACATTTCAAACGTGAGTTGGCTGACTGAACTGAGGTTGTGAAGTTACTTTGGTCATTACCTTAGCTTTATATTCTCATTAAATTATTTAGTTTGTTCTTACATTAAAATCTAGTATTTACAGGAGGAGCAACTACAGCAACCAGAAATGATTGGTATTATTAGATTAATAATACCAACATCAATATCCCTTAATTCAAAGGAAAGTGAAGAAGATAGACTAGAAAGATTCTGACCTGAAATCTGAAGTTCATGATTGAAGTCACGCTTCCAACTAATGTTATTCATGATTTTGGCTCCCAAGGCTTTCAAGGTAGACTCCTGAACAAAGAAAGAAAGAAAGAAAGAAAGAAAGAAAGAAAGAAAGAAAGAACATAAAGTAATTAATGAAACTGAATCATGCACATAATTTCATTAGTGCACTACAGTAATGATCCCTTATCCCTTAATATCACAATATCAGTGCACTCCCCAGGGATTGTGTGATAGTATTAGATCAGTAAATCTAGTCATGACCTTGGAAACTCCAAGATACTTCTGGACATCAATCCATGCAGTATCATTTCGGTTGGACTTCAGGAGTTTGTCCTCATAGAACAGACAGTCCACAGTAAGCTCAACATTGGGGTTGTCCACCAGTCTTCTGCTTTCAGCTAGAACTTGGTCACGGTTGAAGGTGTGATGCATCACAAAAAGAATTGCTGGTTTATCACCTGTAAGCACAGAGATAATACAACCAGATGAGTGAAAGAAGAGGAACTTGAGAGGAGAGATCTGTTTGTCTCAATAATAGTGCATAATCCACAGACCTGTGAACACTCTTTACAGGGGAAATATATTTGATTAAGAATTTGTCATTAAACATGGACACCAATCCTGCATTTATAATAGTGCAATTTTAGACTGAAATTAATAAAGTTCAAAGAACTGCCAATGAGACTTCACATTGACAGTTCTTTGAACTTTATTAATTTTAGAGAACTGCTAAAAATAGAGACACTGCAAATCCAATTAGAACCTGTACAAAAACAAACATTATGGTAAGTTTTTTTCATATCAAAATTAGGAACTTTTTAACTGATGGATTAAATTTCCCCGTATTCCTTTAACTAATCAGTGTGAAATTAAACCATTTCCTACCTGGAAAGTTTTCCAGGGCCCCGCTGACGTCTGTTCCAACTCTTGAAGCAACAGGACAGAAAACCAGAAGGTAGTCACTTTCTTCTGGAGAGTTCACCTCAGTCTGGCCAATGCTTTCAAGCTTCGCCACAAACTCAAGATGAGCATCATTAGTTTTTCCCACCAAGATGACAAAGAACTTTTTCTTGGACACTAAAGACAGAGAGGAATATTTGAGTCATTACTGCACTGTAACATAGTTTAGTGTAGCTACACCATCAGACCCGGATAAAAGGAAATATTGCCCAAAAATAGATCTTGGACTAGATTTAGCACAAATTGTAGAAGGTATGTTACACAACCCCAAACTTCACTATTTTCATACATTAGTTCAACTCAAAATATCTATGTGTTGAATTTTCATATGATTATTTTAAAATGATGATCAACTTAGAAATTGCTGAATGCATAAGTTTTTGTGTCAGTGGAGGTGTCCAATATAAAAATGAACAAATCTTCAAAGCACAGACTTTGTTATTTCCTGGTTAAAAGCTACTGTGTGTGCACAAAAGCCAGAGTGCAGACAGGCTGTTGCTGAATATCTCAAAAACACAATTACTGAGGTTGTGAAGTTACTTTGGTCATTACCCTAGCTTTATATTCTTATTAAATTATTTTGTTCCCCATCACTTACATTAAACCCTGTATTGACAGGAGGAGCCATTACAGCAACCATAAATGATTGGTATTATTAGATTAATAATACCAACATCAATATCCCTTAATTCTAAGGAAAGTGAAGAAGATAGACTAGAAAAACTCTGACCTGAAATCTGAAGTTCATCATTGCTGTCACGCTTACTATTGAATATGGCTCGAAAGGTGGAGACCTTAAGAAAGAAAGAAAGAAAGAAAGAAAGAAAGAAAGAAAAATAATTAATGAAACTGCATCATGTACATAATTTCAGTGGTGAACTACAGTAATGATCCCTTATCCCTTAATAACACAATACCAGTGCACTCCCCAGGGATTGTGTGATAGTATTAGATCAGTAAATCTAGTCATTACCTTGGAAACTCCAAGATACTTCTGGACATCACGCCATGCAGTATCATTTCGGTTGGACATCAGGAGTTTGTCCTTATAGAACAGACAGTCCACAGTAAGCTCAACATTGGGGTTGTCCACCAGTCTTCTGCTTTCAGCTAGAACTTGGTCAGGACTGAAGGTGTGATGCATCACGACCAGAATTACTGGTTTACCACCTGTAAGACCAGAGATAATACAACCAGATGAGGGAAACAAGATAAAACTTAATAGGGGAGATCAGTTTGGTTTTTACTGGATGAGCTGTGGCACTCATTCCACATTTTCACATTAAAGTACATTATTATTAAAGTTTTTTGCCATAGTATTTTAACATGGGCTTAACAATGTTGTAAATACTAAGTAAGTGAGTCATTTAAAGTAGAAATCACTGATTTGAAATACTTGACAGCTTTAAAGTTGATGTGGAGAACATGTTAGCAAACAACCAAGTCCTGCATTTATAACAGTGCAAATTCAGACTAAAATGAATAAAGTTCAAAGAACTGCCAATGAGATCCCACACCGGCAGTTCTTTGAACTTTATTCATTTAAGGGAACTGCTAAAAGTAGAGACACTGCAAGTCCAATTAGAACCTGTACAAAAACAAACATTAAAGTAAGTTTTTTTCAAACCAAAATTAGAAACTTTTCAACTGATTGATCAAATTTCCCTCTATTCCTTTAACTAATCAGTGTGAAATGAAGCTGTGGCAATCATTACATATTGTCGTATTAAAGTGCATTATTATTAAAGGTTTTTTTCACAGGATTTTAACATGGGCTTAAAATGAATTGAATTATTTTAAAACTTTAAAGTTGATGTGGAGAACTTGTTAGCAAACAACTGCCTATTCACACAGCAGATACAGAGCAATGTCTTTGTATAGGGAAAATGCAATTTTAGCACTTCCAAGCCATTTCCTACCTGGAAGTTTGTCCAGGGCATCGCTGACATCCGTTCCAACTCTTGAAGCAACACGACAGAAAACCAGAAGGTAGTCACTTTCTTCTGGAGAGTTCACCTCAGTATGACCAATGCTTTTAAGGTTTGCCACAAACTCAAGATGAGCATCATTAGTTTTTCCCGCCAAGATGACAAAGAACTTTTTCTGGGACACTAAAGACAGAGAAGAATATTTGAGTCATTACTGCACTGTAACATAGTTAAGTGTAGCTTCACCATCAGACCCAGATAAAAGGAAATATTGCCCAAAAATAGATCTTGGACTAGATTCAGCACAAATTGTAGAAGGTATGTTACACAACCCCGAACTTCAGTACTATATATAGTTCAACTATAAATCACTATGTGTTGAATTTTCATTTGATAATTTTAAAATGATGATCAACTTAAACATTACTAATTGCACACTTTTTTGTGTCAGTGGAGGTGTCCAATATAAAAATGAACAAATCTTCAAAGCTGTTATTTCCTGGTTAAAAGATACTGTGTGCTGTCAAGTAAGTTGAGATCCCTGATCCTGATCTGAAGGACTTCCCATTGAGTAACGGAGAGAGATAACAACGGAGCATTAGGGACCCTCCATCTGAATAACGCAATGCACAGAGATTATAATAATTATAATAAGTTGATTCTATATTACAAAATGAAATATGTAACAATGAAAGGAAACATGATTATATGATTGTAACTGATTATTTGATCATTACTATGCATTTATACTCATTAATAATGAGTATAAATGCATGCAGTAAGATAGAACTATGGAAAGTGAGGTCAAGAGAGCAAATCATGTTGAAATGTTGAGTAGGTGAAAAGGCACGTATTGCAACCAGACATGTCCAGTGCAGAGAGAAAGGGGAAGCTGAGCACACACACAGGACACACTATGAGGAGCAAAAGAGACTGGACATTTAATCGTTCAGCTACAGCCTTTTTATCAGGGTTTGAAATGTTACAATTCTTTTTATTTCACAATGTCGGTTATAAGTCGTCAGGCGGAGTAAAGTTAACAGAAAAGCTAACGTTAAATAAGTTAGTAGTGTTAGCGGCTAACACATTGAAGTTTGAATTGCACTGTTAGGAGCTGCTGTTCGTTATATTATCCCTGTACCGTACAGACAGTGAGGCTCTGCATCTATAGTGAAATGGTGAGGAACAATAGAGCTTAGTTTAAACTTTTTTCTTAACGTCAGATAAAGCACAAGGAAGGAAAGAGAGAAAGAATGATACAATAGTAATACATATTAAAAAAAAAAACAGTTACCATCAGATAGATATATTGATGCATAGTATGGCATTTCATTATGATAGTACAAATATTTGAAAAAGTAAACATATACAAGTTGAGTAAATGATAATCACGCAACAAACATATTTAGTGTTTGCATATATAGCTTGACTGAACCAGTATATATTGTAACTATTTAACATATGTTTGATAAGTACTGTATGCATTTTAAGTTCACTTATATCTGTTGTAATTGATCTGTCCTTGTAGGTTCAAGTGGAAGCACCGAGTTTCCTCGAGCTTCATAGACATCTCGGTAAGATGCATCCTAAAATAGTGTTGATGGTTGAATGTTGTTTTATTTTATTATTATAGGATATAGTTTGTGGTCTGGTGAACTATATTGTGTTATACACAGAGGTGTCTTTATTTAGCATGGCCTCATTGATATAAATGGGATGGACAAAATAATAAAAACACCTCAGTATAACATGATACAATTCAACGGCAGCACAGTCACAGGTAAAAACTGCTAGCTTTGCTGCGTACAGTGTGTAATGGATGCATTATGTTTTCCTCTTAAAACACAATTTGAAAAACCTACATTAATCTATACATTTATGTGTTTGTATGTCTGCAGGTGTTTGCTGAGTTCCATCGCATTACAAATGTGAACCTACGTAATCAGTTCTACTGTGAGGTTGACAGATAAACACCTCAACTGATTGCCCTGTACAGAGAGAAGGCCTTACGGACAGGCAAGACAGCAGAGGCCGAGAGATCTTCAGGATTTATGAGCGCCATGTAAGTTTAAGATTAACTTTGCTGTGAGCACAATGATGGTTCTTGATGATGATTTTATGATTATGTAAGTTGAACTGGCTTGATGTGCTGGTAAATATTTCTATAATGATTACTAGGTTTTGGTTGTCAATCTAGGAACAACATGATGTAAACATGAGGCGCAGTCTGGCCCTTCGTGCCCTTCCGGTGTACCTAAGAGAGGATGACTGAGTTCTTCAAGACCTGGAATGTAAGTATTTAGTGTACTCATAGAAATGTCAATATCAATGAAATATAGTATGGGAAACCAACTTTAACGCCTCTTTTCAGGTTCAAATCGATGGATAGGTGGTTTTTTTTCTCAGTATAATGCTAAAATGTGGTATGTACAATGAAAGAGTGATTGGGGACCTCCTCTCCAAATAAGAGAGAAATCCACAGTTCCTGTTTCATTTAAATCTCTTTATGCAAGTGTATTTGAATCCAATATGAGTCTTCAGCTGTCTGAGTTAGAATTATGTTGACATTGTTAATGATACATGACTTTAAACCTTTTTACTGGAATTATCCTTGTCATTGGATTGTTTGTATTTTGCAGCAAGAAGATGAGCCAGATATTGCTGACACTCCTGTGGGTCTCCTTACTGTGGTCACTGACAACACAACCCATTTCAGCCCCAAGAGCATTTCTATTGTCATCAAAGACGATATTGTTCTGAGTGATCTCCCTAGGTTGACCAATGTTAAGTTTTTAGAGAACTGTTCAGGAATCAGTGTTCTTAACTCCTGCTTTTAAAATAAATCAGGCTGTGTCATTTTGTTTTATTTTCTCATCTTAATGGCATTGCTAGAGATTTCTATCTCTAGCAATGCCAACCAATGCTAACCCTATTGCCCAGCCCAAGTTTTTGTACTGCATAACTTGTGGGAAACGACTGTTCAGTTCATGAACTATACATGTTTAATGTTCTGTTGCCTAATGCCTACTTTTGATGCACTACCTTGATGTTGCCAGTTGAAGTACGGCACAGTAGAACAGTGTTAAATGGCTCCACATTCTAATAGTTGTCATTGCTGTTGAGGATGGATTATACTTAGAATCTTAATGAATTTTATTATGAATCCTTTGTGAGTTTTTATCATAATGTTTACTGAATAATGTGAGATGGAGACCCAAAATACTGAATCTACCGTCTGTAGCAATAACCACTATCAGAATATGGAACTATTAACACTTAATGTACTTTAAAACACATTTTGTTTTTCTGGAGTCATTTCCTTTTCCTTTTGTTTTAATTTATGACAAGCACTTTGTTTTGACTGAGCTCCTTTGATTTGTGCCTTTTAAAAAGCACATTGTGTTGAATGAAAAAACTTGTTAAATTGTCACTTTAATGTTTTCTAACATTATTAGCTGATTATAATTGTTTAGCGGGCCAACATCAGTATTTCAGTTTAGAATTAATTTTGAGTGCATGTCCCACATTATGAGTTGAAAATTATTGAAGGTTTTGAGTGTATTACTAATTATAAGTTGAGGAATATCAATATTTATAAGATAACATTGAGATAATTTAAGGCAACTGTAAATGTAATTTTTATTTTATGTAAACTTAAAACATTTAAAAACATCAATAAAATATTGTTGTGTAATCTGTTACAAAATAATTTTTGAGTTCTGTGAACTTATTAGGGTTTACAGTGCAGACTGTTGCTGAATATCTCAAAAGCAAAATTACTGAGGTTGTGAAGTTACTTTGGTCATTACCCTAGCTTTATATTCTCAATAAATTATTTTGTTCCCCATCACTTACATTAAAACCCTGTATTGACAGGAGGACCAACTACAGCAGCCAGAAATGATTAGTATTATAAGGGCGTTTTCACACCTAAAAGTCCGGACCAACGTTCTTGTTTAATTACATTGTATACATTTGACCCTGTTATTTTTGGTTTCACATAGTAATTTTGCTAGCGCACTAAAGAACTTTCCATGACATACCTACGGCGTGTTGTCACCGCGTACACGTGTTGCGTCTCCCTTTGATTGGTGAGTAGACGGGCATGCGTCTGACATTGGCGGGTAGTCTTTTTTCAGTATGAATGAAAATTAATGAGCAAATACCGATTGCATTATTATGGTATTACGACCAACATAAACATATAATCTCCTCTCCCCCACGTACTTCCACGACAAATTTTCCGTTTTTTTTCTGCTTCTTCTATGGTACGAACAATCCAAAAAGTGTTTTCATACTGTAAACTAACCGAACCATGGTTCAGTTTGATCCGGGCCGAGACCACCTCTTTAGTTCGGACCCAATTTTGGACTTTTGATCCGGACCGTGGTCCGTGGCACCTTTCTCACCTACAATTTTGATTCGGACCAAACTGAAAAGTCCGAAGGTCCGGACCAAAAGAGGTATGTGTGAAAACGCCCTTAGATTAATAATACCAATATCAAAATCCCTTAATTCGAAGGAAAGTGAAGAAGATAGCCTACAAAAAATCTGACCAGAAATCTGAAGTTCATGATTGCTGTCACGCTTCCTACTGATGTTATTCATGGCTCCCAAGGTAGACTCCTAAAGAAAGAAAGAAAGAAAGAAAGAAAGGAAGAATATAAAATAATTATTGAAACTGCATCATGTACATCATTTCAGTGGTGGACTACAGTAATGATCCCTTATCCCTTAATATCACAATATCAGTGCACTCCCCAGGGATTGTGTGATAGTATTAGATTAGTAAATCTAGTCATTACCTTGGAAACTCCAAGATACTTCTGGACATCAATCCATGCAGTATCATTTTGGATAGACTTCAGGAGTTTGCCCTCATAGAACAGACAGTCCACAGTAAGCTCAACATTGGGGTTGTCCACCTGTCTTCTGCTTTCAGCTACAACTTGTTCAGGGTTGAAGGTGTGATGCATTACAACAAGAATTGCTGGTTTAGCACCTAAAGCACAGAGAAAACACAACCAAATAAATGAAACAACATTAAAATTAAGAGGGGAGATCAGTTTGGTTTTTACTCGCTGAGCTGTAGCATTATTATTTATTATTATTATGTATTTTTATTTTTTTGTAACAATTTTTTATTGGTTTTCAACAGAAACACAAGTTATAAATTTTGCCACCATGTCAGTAACAGAGATAGATAAAAGAAAAGAAAAGAAGAAAAAAAAAAATAATATATATATATATATATATAAGAAAGATGCAGACCGTAAAACCAAAACAACAATCTGAAAGAGTCTAAAAAGCTGTAGAGGGTAAAAACTACAAAGAAAAGGAACTTTTCAACTGATTGATCAGATTTCCCTGTATTGATTTAACTAATCAGTGTGAAATGAAGCCATTTCCTACCTGGAAGTTTCTCCAGGGCATCGCTGACGTCCGTTCCAACTCCTGAAGCGACAGGACAGAAAACTAGAAGGTAGTCACTTTCTTCTGGAGAGTTCACCTCAGTATGGCCAATGCTTTCAAGCTTTGCCACAAAGTCTAGATGAGCATCATTAGTTCTTCCCGCCAAGATGACACAGAACTTTTTCTGGGACACTAAAGACAGAGAGGAATATTTGAGTCATTACTGCACTGTAACATATTTATAAAAGGAAATATTGCACAAAAATAGATCTTGGGCTAGATTCAGCACAAATTGTAGAAGGTATATAACACAACCCTGAACTTCACTACTTTCATACATAAGATCAACTCAAAATATCTACTGTATGTGTGGAATTTTCATATGATAATTTTAAAATGACGATCAACTTAAAAAATACTGATTGCATAAGTTTTTGTGTCAGTGGAAGTGTCCAATATAAAAATGAACAAATCTTCAAAGCACAGACTTTGTTATTCCCTGGTTAAAAGCTACTGTGTGTGCACAAAAGCCAGAGAATCAATCATGAAGCACTAACTCTGTTGCAGACAGGCTGTTGCTGAATATCTCAAAAGCACAATTACTGAGGTTGTGAAGTTACTTTGGTCATTACCCTAGCTTTATATTCTCATTAAATTATTTAGTTTGTTCTTGCATTAAAACCCAGTATTGACAGGATGAGCGGTTACAGCAACCATAAATGATTGGTATTATTAGATTAATAATACCAACATCAATATCCCTTAATTCTAAGGAAAGTGAAGAAGATAGACTAGAAAATAACTGACCTAAAATCTGAAATTTATGAATGAAGTCAAGGTTGCTACTGAGGAAATTCTTGAATTCAGCTACCAAGATAGAGACCTAAAAAAAACACAGGAAGAAAGAAAGAAAGAAAGAAAGAAAGAAAGAAAGAAAGAAAGAAAGAAAGAAAGAATATAAAATAATTATTGAAACTGCATTATGTACATAATTTCAGTGGTGGACTACAGTAATGATCCCTTATCCCTTAATATCACAATATCAGTGCACTCCCCAGGGATTGTGTGATAGTATTAGATCAGTAAATTTAGTCATTACCTTGGAAACTCCAAGATACTTCTGGACATCAATCCATGCAATATCATTTCGGTTGGACTTCAGGAGTTTGCCCTCATAGAACAGATAGTCCACAGTAACCTCAACATTGGGGTTGTCCACCAGTCTTCTGCTTTCAGGTAGAACTTTGTCAGGTTCAAAGGTCTGATGCATTATGACCAGAATTGCTGGTTTATCACCTGAATGCACAGAGAAAACACAACCAAATAAATGAAACAACATTAAAATTAAGAGGGGAGATCAGTTTGGTTTTTACTGGCTGAGCTGTGGCACTCATTACATATCGTCGTATTAAAGTGCATTATTATTAAAGTTTTTTTGCCATAGTAGTTTAACATGGTCTAAACAAGGTTGTAAATGCTAAGTAAGTGAGTCATTTAAAGCAGTATTCACTGATTTGAAATACTTGAAAGCTTTAAAGTTGATATGGAGAACTTGTTAGCAAACAACTGCCTATTCACACAGCAGATGCAGAGAAATGTCTTTGTCAGGAAAGATGCAGACCGTAAAATCAAAACAACAATCTGAAAGAGTCTAAAAAGCTGTAGAGGGTAAAAACTACAAAGAAAAGGAACTTTTCAACTGATTGATCAAATTTCCCCGTATTCCTTTAACTAATCAGTGTGAAATAAAGCCATTTCCTACCTGGAAGTTTCTCCAGGGCCTCGCTGACGTCCCCTCCAACTCTTGAAGCAACAGGACAGAAAACCAGAAGGTAGTCACTTTCTTCTAGAGAGTTCACCTCAGTATGGCCAATGCTTTCAATCTTTGCCACAAACTCTAGATGAGCATCATTAGTTTTTCCCGCCAAGATGACAAAGAACTTTTTCTGGGACACTAAAGACAGAGAGGAATATTTGAGTCATTACTGCACTGTAACATAGTTTAGTGTAGCTACACCATCAGACCCAGATAAAAGGAAATATTGCCCAAAAAAATAGGTCTTGGGATATATTCAGCACAAATTGAAGAGGGTATTTCACTACTTCCATACATAAGTTCAACTCAAAATATCTACTGTATGTGTGGAATTTTCATAAGATAATTTTAAAATGATGATCAACTTAAAAATTGCTGAATGCATAAGTTTTGTGTCAGTGGAAGTGTCCAATATAAAAATGAACAAATCTTCAAAGCACAGACTTTGTTATTTCCTGGTTAAAAGCTAATGTGTGTGCACAAAAGCCAGAGAATCAATCATGAAGCACTAACTCTGTTGCAGACAGGCTGTTGCTGAATATCTCAAAAGCACAATTACTGAGGTTGTGAAGTTACTTTGGTCATTACCCTAGCTTTATATTCTCTTTAAATTATTTAGTTTGTTCTTGCATTAAAACCCAGTATTGACAGGATGAGCGGTTACAGCAACCATAAATGATTGGTATTTTTAGTTTAATAATACTAACATCAGTATCTCTTAATTCAAAGGAAAGTGAAGAAGATAGACTAGAAAATAACTGACCTAAAATCTGAAATTCATGAATGAAGTCAACGTTGCTGCTGAGGAAATTCTTGAATTTAGCTACCAAGATAGAGACCTAAAAAAAACACAGAAAGAAAGAAAGAAAGAAAGAACATAAAATAATTAAAGGAACTGCATCATGCACATCATTTCAGTGGTGGACTACAGTAATGATCCCTTATCCATTAATATCACAATATCAGTGCACTCCCCAGGGATTGTGTGATAGTATTAGATCAGTAAATCTAGTCATTACCTTGGAAACTCCAAGATACTTCTGGACATCACGCCATGCAGTATCATTTCTGTTGGACTTCAGGAGTTTGTCCCCATAGAACAGACAGTCCACAGTAAGCTTAACATTGGGGTTGTCCACCAGTCTTCTGCTTTCAGCTAGAACTTGGTCAGGGTTGAAAGTGTGATGCATCACGACCAGAATTACTGGTTTACCACCTGTAAGCACAGAGATAACACAACCAGATGAGTGAAACAACATTAAACTTAAGAGGGGAGATCAGTTTGATTTTTACTGGCTGAGCTGTGCCACTCATTCCTTATTTTCTCATTAAAATGCATTATGATTAAAGTTTTTTACCATAGTATTTTAACATGGGCTTAAAATTAATTGAAATATTTCCATGCTTTAAAGTGGATGTGGAGAACTTGTTAGCAAACAACTACATATTCACACAGCAGATACAGAGCAATGTCTTTGTCAGGAAAGATGCAGACCGTTAAACCAAAGCAACAATCTGAAAGAGTTTGTGTCTTAATAATAGTGCATAATCCACAGAATGTGAAAAAATTTGTCATCAATTTTTCTTTATTCATTCTAGGGAACTGCTATAAATAGAGACACTGTCCAATTAGAACCTGTACAAAAAAAACATTATGGTAAGTTTTTTTCAAACCAAAATGAGGAACTTTTCAACTGATTGATCAAATTTCCCTGTATTCTTTTGACAAATCAGTGTGAAATGAAGCCATTTCCTACCTGGAAGTTTGTCCAGGGCCTCGCTGACGTCAGTTCCAACAGGACAGAAAACCAGAAGGTAGTCACTTTCTTCTGGAGATTTCACCTTAGTTTGACCAATGCTTTTAAGGTTTGCCACAAACTCAAGATGAGCATCATTAGTTTTTCCCGCCAAGATGACAAAGAACTTTTTCCAGGAGACTAAAGACAGAGAGGAATATTTTAGTCATTACTGCAGCGTAACATAGTTTAGTGTACTAAAAGATCTAGATTCAGCACAAATTGATAAAGGTGTTTTACAAATCCCTGAACTTTACTACTTTCATAAATATATTAAACTCAATATCAGTATTTGTTGAATTTCTATATGATTATTTTAAAAGGATGATCATCTTAAAAATGACTGATTGCATAAGTTTTGTTTTTGTGTGAGTGGAGGTAAATGAACAGATCTTAAAAGCATGGACTAAAAGCTACTGCATGTGCACAAATCCAGAGAACCAATAATGAAGCATTAACTCTGTTGCAGACAGCCTGTTGCTGAATGCTGAGAAAAATATCCAAAGGTTTTCCTACTGCAGCCCCTCAGACCTCCCTCCTCAGGCACCTCTCATTTTATTACACAGTTATTATCACCCCCTGCTGGTCGGAGGATTTATTGTATATTGTAAATTGTGCTCAACTCATTCACCTCTCATAACTTCCTCATAATGTGGGAAACAAACCAAATTCAGCTGTATATTAGTTTCTAATTCTGTGTAAAATGTGAAATTTTATGACCAGAAAACCAAAATAAAGAGCTGAAAGACACATAAACTGTTGATGATTCTCTGTAGTTTGATCACTACGAGCAACCCCTTTCACTTTACATGTTGTCAGCTGATCCATGTTGTCAATTTATAAACACAGTACATTTTCTCACCAGTTGCCACTTCCTGGGCCATGTCTCTGAGGAAGAGATACATAAACAGACAGAAACCTTTAGTCAACATCATTTAACAAAATGAAATAAAGCTAAATAAGGAGCAGGTGTATATGCGTCACAAATTCCTTTGTCACAGCTGCTCTGCCCAGCCCACAAAACTCAGTTACAAAGAAAGTAGATGTATATAACCTACAATACTCAGATATATGTCGAGTGTCAGCAGGTCACAACCTCACAGGATTCATTATTCAAAACATTTTGTTCTTGCCTACTTACGTAATGGATTGATAATTTATTTCTGATGTCTCTGGTATGTCAAAGTATTTGTTGTTCCTCCCTGTCGGTGCAGCACTTTCACTTTTGCTTTAACAAGGAAGCTGTTCTCGAGTTGACCACTAGAGGACGTGCAGAGATGAGACATTAACTGTGTCAGTGTTTAGGAACAGATGAGAAAAGACCACAGTAGGAGGAGGGAGTAACTGCAGACCTCATATAGGCTACAACACAGAGCTGATGGTATACACGGGCACTGGGATTACTTTAGGTTGTTTTTATATTACAGAAGTAGTTTACTATGTTAGAGTCCCCTCACATGTAGGATGGAGGGAGTCTAAGCACTAATAATAATACCTCTGCACTTTATTCCCTGTTGTGAAACTGTCACCATCGGATGCTATATTCAGCCCCAGTCTGGATGTGTTTCTCACTGAGAGCTTCCAGTCCTGGCACAGTCAGACAGGACCGTTACAGCTGCTTGACCAGAAGACGTAACACACAGTGCTGGCTACCGTGACAAGTCCTTCCCAAGTTGTAAGTAAGTTGTGTTGTCATTCTGCAGCAGTAATTTTAAAGATGACTTCTTGATTTGATTTCATTTACCGGCCTTTCAATCCTGACTTGACTCCCATTCTTTGTCATTGGTTGCATTTAGATACCATCATTGTGCCACCATTGTTCTTCACTGTAGGGGTGATTATGACCTTTACCTCAGTTTTAATAGGAATCCATCAGATTTGTTTATCAGCTATGTAGGGCTGTCCCCTAATAGTCGAGTAAACTGTTAGTAGAAGAGAAGAGTCTTAGTCAACAAGATTTCATGAGTCGGATATTTGCAGGAAAACAAACGGAGCTGTGCCAAGTGTCAGGGGATTGTTGCAGCACGGACCTTTTCTCTTGTAACACAGCACTGCTGCATGTGCTAAGTGCTAATGAGCTGCTGCCACTAACTAGTTAGTATAGCTGACTGTACGGACTGCGAGCTCTAAGTACCAGGGGTGGTTTGTTAACACAAGGGCTGGAATGAGCACTATAGCCAGAGTCGGGTGAGCAGACAATGAGACTAATGTAATGTTATTATTCTGTGAAATAAATGAACTGAATGTTCAGTCTCCGTGCTGGCTGTTTAACAGGCGACTGTTAAAATATATATATTTAAATGATTAAACAATTTCATAAACAACACAATTGGCTTTAACCAACAACCACGAGTCGACAAGAAAAATCTTTGGTCGGGGACAGTCCTACAGCGAGGCTACTAATTTACAAAGACACAACACACAAATACGATGTCATCACTTGTTAAATTTGTGTTTATTCTTCATGAAGGAAACACATACAGTCCTGATGTCTGAATGAGTACAAAGTAGCAGCAATCATTATATTACAGTGATGTTTTCTCTTCATTTAAAACATGATGATATTTTACCACACGTGACACTACTACACCTTTAAACAGTACATACCACAAAGCGTGTATCTCTAAAGCACAATTACTGGAGTTGTGAAGTAACTCTGGTCGTTACCCTGGCTTTACACTCTCATTATATGAGTTTGTTGTCATCACTTAAAACCCAGTATTGGCAGGAGGAGCAAATACATTGTTGAAATTCACTTTTTTAAAACAGAAATAGAATCATTCAAACACATTTACCCACAATGTGCACACAGTATATATACTGTAATATCCACCTACCTAATGTACATAAAGAAACCTGCATGTAATTATTTATTTCAGCATCCTTTGCACTCTCAAATGTTAATTATTTATTGGTTTATAGATAGATAGATAGATAGATAGATAGATAGATAGATAGATAGATAGATAGATAGATAGATAGATAGATAGATAGATAGATAGATAGATAGATAACTGTACATAGTAGTTTATGTCTATTTTGTTGAGCTTGTTGTCCTGTTTACCTATGCTTAGTCTGGAAAAATTACTGATAAACTAGTCACTTGGTATCATTTACAATTGAAATAACTGAAATTATTTTGTTTACATATAAGATGAATAATACCAACATCAATATCCCTTAATTCAAAGGAAAGAACATTTGATCTGAAATCGAAAGTTCATTGATTGCAGTCACAGTTACTAGTGCTTAAAGAATCTGGGAAGACTTGGAAAAGAGACACCTGAAAGAAAGACAGAATTAAGAGAATATGAGTAACAATAATGCGTAATAATGGTCATTTCAGAGGTGGACTACAGTAATGATTCCTTATCCATTAATATCACAATATCAGTGCACTCCACATAGATTGTATGATTGTATTACATCAATCATCAAGACTTCTGGACGTTAAACGATGCATTGTATTGGATGCATACGTTTTTGTCTTGTTTTTGTGTGTATAAATGAACAAATCTTCAAAGCAGAGACTTTGTTATTTACTGGTTTAAAGCTACTGTGTGTGCACAAAAGCCAGAGAATCAATCATGAAGAACTAACTCTGTTGCAGACAGGCTGTTCTGCTAATTTATATTGTTTTCCCCCCATGACGGAAACACATACAATCCTGATGTCTGAATAAGAACAAAGTAGCAACAATCCTTATTTTACAGTGATGTTTTGACTTGATTTAAAACTTGTTCATTTTATACCATACACGACTCTACTACACATTAAACAGTACATAGCACAAAGCTTCTATCTCAAAAGCACAATTACTGGAGTTGTGGAGTAACTTTGGTCATTGAGCTAGCTTTATACTTATTTAGTTTGTTCTTACATTAAAACCCAGTACTGGCAGGAGGAGCCATTACAGTGACCAAAAATGATTGGTATTATTAGATTCATAATTATTAGATTAATGATACAAACATCATTATCCCTTAATTCAAAAGAAAGTGAAGAAGATAGGCTAGAAAAAATCTGATCTGAAATGTGAAGTTCATGAAAGCTCTCACACTTACTATTGAATATGGCTGGAAAGGTGGAGACCTAAATAATTAAAGAAAAGAAAGAATAAAAAATAATTAATGAAACTGCATCATGAACATCATTTCAGTGGTGGACTACAGTAATGATCCTTTATCTCTTAATATCACAGTATCAGTGCACTCACCAGGGATTGTGTGATAGTATTAGATCAGTAAATCTAGTCATTACCTTGGAAACTCCAAGATACTTCTGGACATCAATCCATGCAGTATAATTTCGGTTGGACTTCAGGAGTTTGTCCTCATAGAACAGACAGTCCACAGTAACCTTAACATTGGGGTTGTTCACCAGTCTTCTGCTTTCAGCTAGAACTTGGTCAGGATTGAAGGTGTGATGCATCACGACCAGAATTGCTGGTTTATCACCTGTAAGCACAGAGATAATACAACCAGATGAGTGAAACATAAGAGGGGAGATCCGTTTGGTTTTTATTGGCTGAGCTGTGGCAATCATTACATATTGTCGTATTAATGTGCATTATTATTAAAGGTTTTTTTCACAGGATTTTAACATGGGCTTAAAATGAATTGAATTATTTTAAAGCTTTAAAATTGATGTGGAGAACTTGTTAGCAAACAACTGCCTATTCAAACAGCAGATACAGAGCAATGTCTTTGTATATGGAAAATATTTTTGATAAAGAATTACTCATCAAACATGGACGCCATGTTCTGCATTTATATTTTATATTTTAGCACTTCCAAGCCATTTCCTACCTGGAAGTTTCTCCAGGGCCTCGCTGACATCCCTTCCAACTCTTGAAGCGACAGGACAGAAAACCAGAAGGTAGTCACTTTCTTCCGGAGAGTTCACCTCAGTTTGGCCAATGCTTTTAAGCTTTGCCACAAACTCCAGATGAGCATCATTAGTTTTTCCCGCCAAGATGACAAAGAACTTTACCTTGGAAACTCCAAGATGCTTCTGGACATCAAACCATGCAGTATCATTTCGGTTGGACGTCAGGAGTTTGTCCTTATAGAACAGACAGTCCACAGTCAGTTTAACATTAACGTTCACCAGTCTTCTGCTGTCAGCTATAACTTGATCAGGGTTTAAGGTGTGATGCATCATGACCAGAATTGTTGGTTTACCACCTGTAAGCACAGAGATAACACAACCAAATGAGTGAAAGAAGATGAAACTTAAGAGGAAAGATCCATTTGTCTCAATAATAGTGCATAAATCAAAGACATGTAAACACTCTTTATAAGGAAAATGTATTTGATAATAAATGTATCATCAAACATGGACACCAAGTCCTGCATTAACAGCTAACAAATTTAAGGGAGCTTCTAAAAATAGAAACACTGCAAGTCCAATTAGAACCTGTACAAAAACAAACATTATGGTTAGTTTGTTTCATACCAAAATGAGAAACTTTTTAACTGATTGATCAAATTTTCCTGTATTCCTTTAACTAATCAGTGTGAAATGAAGCCATTTCCTACCTGGAAGGTTTTCCAGGGCCTCGCTGACGTCTGTTCCAACATTTAAAGCAGCAGGACAGAAAACCAGAAGGTAGTCACTTTCTTCTAGAGAGTTCACCTCAGTATGACCAATGCTTTCAAGCTTTGCCACAAACTCAAGATGAGCATCATTAGTTTTTCCCACCAAGAAGACAAAGAACTTTTTCTGGGACACTAAAGACAGAGAGGAATATTTGAGTTATTACTGCACTGTAACATAGTTTAGTGTAGCTACACCATCAGACCCAGATAAAAGGAAATATTGCCCAAAAATAGATCTTGGACTAGATTCAGCACAAATTGTAGAAGGTATGTTACACAACTCAGAAATGTACTACTTTCATACATTAGTTCAACTTAAAATCACTGTGTGTTGAATTTTCATATGATTATTTTAACAGCATGATCAACTTAAAAAATGCTGATTGCATACATTTTTGTGTCAGTGGAGGTGTCCAATATAAAAACAAACAAATCTTCAAAGCACAGACTTTGTCATTTCCTGGTTAAAATCTACTGTGTGTACACAAAAGCCAGAGAATCAATCATGAAGCACTAACTCTGTTGCAGACAGGCTGTTGCTGAATATCTCAAAAGCACAATTACTGAGGTTGTGAAGTAACTTTGGTCATTACCCTTGCTTTATGTTTTCATGAAATTATTTTGTTCCCCATCACTTACATTAAAATCCAGTACTGGCAGGAGGAGCCATTACAGCAACCAGAAATAATACCAACATCAATATCCCTTAATTAAAATGAAAGTGAAGGAGACAGACTAGAAAAAATCTGACCTGAAATCTGATGTTCATGACTGCTGTCATGCTTACTTTTGATGTAATTCATGGATTTGGCTAGCCAGGTTTTCAAGGTAGACTCCTGAAGAAAGAAAGAAAGAAAGAAAGAAAGAAAGAAAGAAAGAAAGAAAGAAAGAATACAAAATAATAAATGAAACTGCATCATGTACCCAGCGATTGTGTGATAGTATTAGATCAGTAAATCTAGTCATTACCTTGGAAACTCCAAGATACTTCTGGACATCACGCCATGCAGTATCATTTCGGTTGGACGTCAGAAGTTTGCCCTCATAGAACAGACAGTCCACAGTAAGCTCAACATTGGGGTTGTCCACCAGTCTTCTGCTTTCAGCTAGAACTTGGTCAGCATTGAAAGTGTGATGCATCACAACCAGAATTGCTGGTTTACCACCTGTAAACACAGAGATAACACAATCAAATGAGTGAAAGAAGATGAAACTTAAGAGGAAAGATCCATTTGTCTCAATAATAGTGCATAAATCAAAGATATGTAAACACTCTTTATAAGGAAAATGTATTTGATAATAAATGTATCATCAAACATGGACATCAGGTCCTGCATTTATAACAGTGCAATTTTAAACTGAAATTGATGAAGTTCAAAGAACTGCCAATGAGATCCCACACAGGCAGTTCTTTGAACTTTATTCATTTGAGGGAACAGCTAAAAATAGAGACACTGCAAGTCCAATTAGAACCTGTATAAAAACAAAGATTAAGTTTTTTTCATACCAAAATGAGGAACTTTTCAACTGATGGATTAAATTTCCCCGTATTCCTTTGACTAATCAGTGTGAAATGAAGCCATTTCCTACCTGGAAGGTCTTCCAGGGCCTCGCTGACGTCCCTTTCAACTCTTGAAGCAACAGGACAGAAAACCAGAAGGTAGTCACTTTCTTCTGGATTGTTCAACTCAGTATGACCAATGCTTTCAAGCTTTGCCACAAACTCAAGATGAGCATCATCAGTTTTTCCCACCAAGATGACAAAGAACTTTTTCTGGGACACTAAAGACATAGAGAAAAATTTGAGTCATTACTGCACTGTAACATAGTTTAGTGTAGCTACACCATCAGACCCAGATAAAAGGAAATATTGCCCAAAAAAGAGCTTGTGCTAAATTCAGCTCAAATTGTAGGAAGTATGTTACACAGCCCAGAACGTCACTACTTTCATACATTAGTTCAACTGTAAATCACTATGTGTTGAATTTTCTTTTGATAATTTTAAATTGATGATCAACTTAAAAAATGCTGATTGCATAAGTTTTTGTGTCAGTGGAGGTGTCCAATATAAAAATGAACAAATCTTCAAAGCACAGACTTTGTTATTTCCTGGTTAAAAGCTACTGTGTGTACACAAAAGCCATAGAATCAATCATGATGCACTAACTCTGTTGCAGACAGGCTGTTGCTGAATATCTCAAAAGCACAATTACTGAGGTTGTGAAGTTACTTTGGTCATTACCCTAGCTTTATATTCTGATTAAATTATTTTGTTCCCCATCACTTACATTAAACTCTAGTATTGACAGGAGGAGCGATTACAGCAACCAGAAATTATTGGTATTATTAGATTAATAATGCCAACATCAATATCCCTTAATTCAAAGGAAAGTGAAGAAGATAGACTAGAAAAAATCTGATCTGAAATGTGGAATTCATGATTGCTGTCACACTTACTATTGAACATGGTTTGAAAGGTGGAGACCTAAAAAAAAGAAAGAACATAAAAAAATTAATGAAACTGCATCATGTACATAATTTCAGTGGTGGACTACAGTAATGATCCCTTATCCCTTAATATCACAATACCAGTGCACTCCCCAGGGATTGTGTGATAGTATTAGATCAGTAAATCTAGTCATTACCTTGGAAACTCCAAGATACTTCTGGACATCATGCCATGCAGTATCATTTCGGTTGGACGTCAGGAGTTTGCCCTCATAGAACAGACAGTCCACAGTAACCTTAACATTGGTGTTGTTCACCAGTCTTCTGCTTTCAGCTAGAACTTGGTCAGGGTTGAAGGTGTGATGCATCACGACCAGAATTGCTGGTTTACCGCCTGTAAGCACAGAGATAATACAACCAAATGAGTAAAGGAGAGGAAACTTGAGAGAAGAGATCCATATGACTCAATGATAGTGCATAATCCACAGACCTGTGAACACTCAATACATGGAAAATGTATTTGATGAAAAAAATGTGTCATCAAATATGGACGCCAAGTCCTGCATTTATAACAGTTTAATTTTAGGGAACTGCTAAAAACAGAGACACTGCAAGTACAATTAGAACCTGTACAAAAGCAAACACTATGGTAAGTTGAATTCAAATCAAAATTAAAAACTTTTCAACTGATGGATTAAATTTTCCTGTATTCCTTTAACTAATCAGTGTGAAATGAAGCCACTTCCTACCTGGAAGGTTTTCCAGGGCCTCGCTGACGTCCCTTTCAACTCTTGAAGCAACAGGACAGAAAACCAGAAGGTAGTCACTTTCTTCTGGAGAGTTCACCTCAGTATGGCCAATGCTTTCAAGCTTTGCCACAAACTCAAGATGAGCATTATCAGTTTTTCCCGCCAAGATGACAAAGAACTTTTTCTGGGACACTAAAGACAGAGAGGAATATTTGAGTCATTACTGCACTGTAACATAGTTTAGTGTAGCTACACCATCAGATCTAGATAAAAGGAAATATTGCCCAAAAAACATCTTCTGCTAGATTCAGCACAAAGTGTAGAAAGTATGTTACACAGCCCAGAATGTCACTACTTTCATACATTAGTTCAACTGTAAATCACTATGTGTTGAATTTTCATTTGATAATTTTAAAATAATGATCAACTTAAAAATTGCTGATTGCATACATTTTTGTGTCAGTGGAGGTGTCCAATATAAAAATGAACAAATCTTCAAAGCACAGACTTTGTTATTCCCTGGTTAAAAGCTACTGTGTGTGCACAAAAGACAGAGAATCAATCATGATGCACTAACTCTGTTGCAGACAGGCTGTTGCTGAATATCTCAAAAGCACAATTACTGAGGTTGTGAAGTTACTTTGGTCATTACCCTGGCTTTCTATTCTCATTCAATTATTTTGTTCCCCATCACTTACATTAAAATCCATTATTGGCAGGAGGAGCCATTACAGCACACAGAAATTATTGGTATGATTAGATTAATATTACCAACATCAATAACCCTTAATTCAAAGGAAAGTGAAGAAGATAAACTTAAAAACTCTGACCTGAAATCTGAAGTTGATGATTGCTGTCAAGCTTCATTTTGAAGTAATTAATGAATTCAGCTACCAAGACAGAGATCTAAAGTAAGAAAGAAAGAAAGAAAGAAAGAAAGAAAGAACATAAAATAATAAATGAAACTGCATCATGAACATGATTTCAGTGGTGGACTACAGTAATGATCCCTTATCGTTTAATATCACAATACCAGTGCACTCCCCAGGGATTGTGTGATAGTATTAGATCAGTAAATCTAGTCATTACCTTGGAAACTCCAAGATACTTCTGGACATCAATCCATGCAGTATAATTTCGGTTGGACGTCAGGAGTTTGTCCTCATAGAACAGACAGTCCACAGTAAGCTTAACATTGGGGTTGTTCACCAGTCTTCTGCTTTCAGCTAGAACTTGGTCAGGGTTGAAGGTGTGATGCATCACGACCAGAATTGCTGGTTTACCACCTGTAAACACAGAGATAATACAACCAAAATGAGTGAAACAAGATAAAACATAAGAGGGGAGATCTGTTTGATTTTTACTGTCTGAGCTGTGGCACTCATTACATATTTTCACATTAAAGTGCATTATTGTTATAGTTTTTTTGCCATAGTATTTTAACAATGGCATAACAAAATTGTAAATATTAAGTAAGTGAGGCATTTAAAGCAGTATTCACTGATTTGAAATACTCGAAAGCTTTAAAGTTGATGTGGAGAACATGTTAGCAAACAACTGCCTATTCACACAGCAGATACAGAACGATGGCTTTGTCAGGAAAGACGCAGACCGTAAAAAAAACTACAAAACTACAATCTGAAAGAGTCTATGAACCTTTAGAGGGTATAAACTAAAAATCAGCAGTCATCTGTTTCCAGACACAGTGTCTCGATAATATTACATAATCCACAGACCCGTGAACACTCTTTATATGGAAATACATTTTAATAAAGAATTTGCCATCAAACATGGACATCAGGTCCTGCATTTATAACAGAGTAATTTTAGACTGAAATTATTGAAGTTCAAAGAACTCGCAATGAGACTCTACATTGGCAGTTCTTTGAACTTTATTCATTTTAGGGAATTGCTAAAAATAGAGACACTGCAAGTCCAATTAGAACCTGTACAAAAAAACACTATAGTAAGTTTTTTTCACACCAAAATTAAAAACTTTTCAACTGATTGATAAAATTTTCCTGTATTCCTTTAACTAATCAGTGTGAAATGAAGCCATTTCCTACCTGGAAGGTTTTCCAGGGCCTCGCTGACGTCTGTTCCAACTCTTGAAGCAACAGGACAGAAAACTAGAAGGTAGTCACTTTCTTCTGGAGAGTTCACCTCAGTATGACCAATGCTTTCAATCTTTGCCACAAACTCAAGATGAGCATCATTAGTTTTTCCCACCAAGATGACAAAGAACTTTTTCTGGGGCACTAAAGACAGAGAGGAATATTTGAGTCATTACTGCACTGTAACATAAATTAAGGGGAGTTACACCATCAGACCCAGATAAAAGGAAATATTGCCAGAAAAAGATCTTGGGCTAGATTCAGCACAAATTGTAGAAAGTATGTTACACAACCCCGAACTTCACTATTTGCATACATAAGTTCAACTCAAAGTCACTATGTGTTGAATTTCCATATGATTATTTTAAAATGATGATCAACTTAAAAAATGCTGATTGCATACGTTTTTGTGTCAGTGGAGGTGTCCAATATAAAAATGAACAAATCTTCAAAGCACAGACTTTGTTATTTCCTGGTTAAAAGCTACTGTGTGTGCACAAAAGCCAGAGAATCAATCATGAAGCACTAACTCTGTTGCAGACAGGCTGTTGCTGAATATCTCTTAAGCACAATTACTGAGGTTGTGAAGTAACTTTGGTCATTACCCTAGCTTTCTATTCTGATTAAATTATGTTGTTCCCCATCACTTACATTAAAATCCAGTACTGACAGGAGGAGTCATTACAGCAACCAGAAATGATTGGTATTATTAGATTAATAATACCAACATCAATATCCCTTAATTCAAAGGAAAGTGAAGAAGATAGACTAGAAAAAATCTGACCTGAAATCTGAAGTTCATGATTGATGTCAAACTTCCTTCTGATGTAATTCATAAATTTGGCTACCAAGGTAGGCTGCTAAAGAAAGAAACAAAGAAACAAAGAAACAAAGAAACAAAGAAAGAAACAAAGAAACAAAGAATATAAAATAATTAATGAAACTGCATCATGTACATAATTTCAGTGGTGGACTACAGTAATGATCCCTTATCCCTTAATATCACAATATCAGTGCACTCCCCAGGGATTGTGTGATAGTATTAGATCAGTAAATCTAGTCGTTACCTTGGAAACTCCAAGAAACTTCTGGACATCAATCCATGCAGTATAATTTCGGTTGGACTCCAGGAGTTTGCCCTCATAGAACAGACAGTCCACAGTAAGCTCAACATTGGGGTTGTCCACCAGTCTTCTGCTTTCAGGTAGAACTTGGTCAGGGTTGAAGGTGTGATGCATCACGACCAGAATTGCTGGTTTACCACCTGTAAGCACAGAGATAACACAACC